ATAATATAAGTTTATAACGATTTTGGATCGATAAATCAATAATAAATTATATTATCAATAAATATATCGTACTTTGAAGACAAAGAGGTGAACAAGCGTGGGATGCCAATGCCAAACCACCCCACTCAGACATTCGGACCTGTAATCGAGCCCTTAGTTTTCTCAATCATCGGCTAACCCCGTTGGATCAGTCATACTGCCCTCGGGGTCATCCACAACCTTAACTAATTCTCATGAGTTCGACCTCGACTAACCTTCAAATATGCTTCTCAACCTTCGATCTTTTATTTTTTATTTTTGTGCAATTTTCAGCCCATTTGGCAATTTAACACATAAAGACCTAACACATAAATTTTGTGACTACGTAATATGAACATCATTTAATTAACCCAATAAAAATAGAAATAATAATTATTATATTATTGTTAATTAAGAGAAAGAAGTGAAGCAGGCAGGTTGATTCTTTCTTAAATAAGACGTTACATAAGGCAAAAATAGGAAGGAATAGACAAAAGCATCATTTTCTAAATTTTGTTTTATTTTTAAATTTATTTTTTTGTTTTGTTTTTATTTTATTTTATTTAATAAAGACATCACATAATTACCTCTCTATCCCATTTATTTACCCCTTTTCCGTGTGCAATGGGGGCAATGGCTATAATTTAACATTAAAGCAAAGGAACTTTTTGGTAGTTTCAGAAACTGATAACAAAAGGCAACGTGGCAAGTCATGATTGGTCAGGTCCCCACAAATCTACTTCTACTTGGTGTACACGTCAAGATCTCATCACGATTTCCCTCCAAAAGTTTTACCGGACGACGACGGCGGAGAAGACGGCGGCGACAGCGATGGCCACGGTGACAGCAACTTGGGTTTTGTTTTGTTGCTCTGTTTGCCTTGCCGCTATGCTGTTAAAATAATAATAAGAATCACACATAACCCACTCGGTCTACTACTACTACTACTACTTTTCTTTTCCCAACGCCCTACACTCCTCCCTCTCTCTCTCTCTTCTTTCTCTCTCTAACCTCGAGATCTGGCCCTTCTCTCTCTAATGGAGGTTGCTGTGTTCGTTGCCTCTCAGTTTTTTTAGGATCTAAGAGAGAGAAAGCTCCTGAGATTCAGAGGAGAAATGGAGATTTTGTGCTGAGGTATTTTAATGGCGGATTGCTTCTACTTGTCCATTTATGAACTTCTTCTTCATCTTCTTTGAATCTTTCTGGATTTTGCCTTTAAATCTCCTTTTCCAAATGAATTAGTTTATCTTTGGAATGTTGGAGTTAGGTGATCTTCAATTGGATGTTTTCCGCTCTCTTCAGTTTAGATCTGTTGGATTCTTCCGGTTTTTTGTGTTCTTAGTGAATTCTTAATGAACTATTTTATTCATTTATTTGTTGATATTCAGATGATTGAATAGGAAATGGGGAAGAAGGGAGGCTGGTTTTCTGCTGTGAAGAAAGCATTTGCTCCAGAATCAAAGGATAAGAAAGATCAGGTTCTAATTTCTATAGATTTTTGTTTTCCGAAGTGTTCTTCTAAGATTCTGGACTGAGAGTTTGCTAATGATTTTCGTTACTAGAAAGCTAACAAATCAAAGAAAAGATGGTTTGGGAAGCCAAAGAAATTGGAGACGGTGGCATCTGGGGAGCCAGCGCCATTGGAAGTGTCTATTCTACCTATCGAGGAAGTGAAACTAGCTAATGCAGAGAATGAACAGAGCAAACATGCTTACTCTGTTGCCATTGCCACTGCAGTCGCTGCGGAGGTGGCGGTTGCAGCGGCTCAGGCCGCCGCAGAGGTCGTTAGGCTCACCACCCGCCCTTGGTACTCCGGGAAATCTAAGGAAGAAATAGCAGCCATCAAGATCCAGACTGCATTCCGTGGCTATATGGTAAGCAATCTCTTTCACTTTTTTTCTGCAAGAATTGTTGGCACTGTTTGTAAGATATAGCTGTTTAGGAACTATTCACTACTTTTTAAACTGTTCTTTTGGATAGAATTTGATTGAAGTAGCCATTAACTTGAGAGCATATTTGTTTAAGACAAGTACAAATCATACAATTCAAGATTCTTATAACAAAACATCAATAACAACAGAATGCACAAATCAAACTACCTTTTTGCTATGAATTGAGTACTTTTTGCTATGAATCACATAAACCTAACTTCAATGCAGGCTTTGAATGTGTCATTTAATGGTCTACAGAGTGTTAAAAAAGAGTCATTTAAAGTGATGAACTGACCTGACCTGCTTTCTCTGTACTGGCCCCTTTAGGAATTTGGGGCATTAAATATGGTATTGAAGAGATTGGTTTTGTAATGGGGATTTTGTATGGCTTAGGCTAGGAGGGCCCTGCGAGCATTAAGAGGGTTGGTGAGGCTGAAGTCATTGATACAAGGCCAATCTGTTAAAAGGCAAGCAACATCCACATTAAGATGCATGCAGACTCTTGCTCGAGTGCAGTCACAGATTCGTGCTAGAAGAATTAGATTGTCAGAGGAGAATCAGGCTCTTCAGAGGCAGCTCCAACAAAAACATGAAAGAGAGCTTGAGAGGTTAACTGTTTCTGTAAGTTTTAACCGTTCTCTTCTGCAAATTCCTCGCATTTTGGTTTCTTTTACATAATCCAAGTGTTTAGGGCAGTTTTTATAAGACTTTTGTAAAAGTCCAAGTCCACCGCTACTAGATATTGTTAGCTTTGACCCATTACGTATCGCTGTTTGCCTCACGGTTTTAAAACGTGTCTTTTCGGGAGAGATTTTCATACAAAAACGCATTTGTTAGGCAGAGGTTTCCACACCCTTATAAAAAATATTTCATTCTCCTCTCCAATTGATGTGAAATCTCACAATCCACTCTCTTGGGGGCTCAGCCTCCTCGCTGGCACAATGCTCGGTATCTTGCTTTGCTACCATTTGTAATAGTCAAAGTTCACCGCTAGCAGATAATGTCCGCTTTGGCCCGTTATGCATCGCCGTCAGTCTCACGGTTTTAAAACGTGTTTGTTAGGGAGTGATTTCCACACCCTTATAAGAAATGTTTCGTTCTCCTCTCCAATCGATGTGAGATTTCACAAGTTTGACCTTATCCAATGTAGTAAAGTGATTCACACAATTCAGCTGACCCTACAATATTTAATATTAGGAAACTCTTAGGATAGTTACTATTCCAAGTGGGTAGCAAGTAGGCCATGTTCCTTTTTCTAGTGCCCCTTTGTAATGGGAGTTTTGAATCCATTAAGTGTTCTAGTTGACTTCAGAGCATTTCAATCAATCTTGTGATATTCAGAACGAGTTTTGAGTATAATTTAAAACCATGAATGTGGCTTGTATAGTATAAAACCATAAAGTAAGGGGCATATATGTATGTATTAGTGTTTGCATGTGTTCCTAATCCTTGTGTTCATACTATGAAGAAGAATTTAAGTTTTGATGTTTCAATTAGGCAAACAATGAATGGGATGATAGTACCAAATCAAAGGAGCAAGTTGAAGCCAGATTAGTTAACAGGCAAGAAGCAGCAACAAGAAGAGAAAGGGCGTTGGCTTATGCTTACTCTCATCAGGTTCAATTCATTTCCGTTTCTTCCTGATTTGATTATCATCTTCATGCTCTGATCACTGATTTTCATTCTCCTGGTCGTTTTCCTCAACAGAAGTTCTGGAATAATTCTTCAAAATCTGCAAATCCTACGTTCATGGACCCCAACAATCCCCACTGGGGATGGAGTTGGTTAGAGCGATGGATGGCTGCTCGTCCATGGGAGACCAAAAGCGCCGTCGATTACCACGATCGTGGCTCTGTCAAGAGCGCGATCAGCCATGCAACGTCAATTGGAGACATTGCAAAATCTTACGCCCGTCGTGATTTCAATCTTGACATCAAGCCTTTTCCAAGGACTCCGACGAGCCATAATACGAGCCGTGCACCAAGTCGCCAATCGCCGGCGACTCCGACTAAGGCGCAATCGTCGCTATCTGCAGGAAGAAAATTGAAGTCAGCAAGTCCAAGAGGATTAGGCTGGGGCGGAGATGAAGATTCCAGAAGCGGATTGAGCGTCAAATCGGAGCGGTTCCGGCGACGTAGCATCGCCGGATCATCGGTGAGGGACGACGAAAGCTTCACTAGTTCGCCGTCGGTTCCAAGCTACATGGCGTCCACAGAAGCAGCTAGGGCTAGGTCCCGCTTGTCGAGTCCGATGGGAATAGAGAAGACGACAGCAACTCCGGAGAAAGAATCGGTGAGTGGCGGCGCAAAGAAGCGGCTCTCATTCACCGCCTCGACGGCGACGGTGAGGAGACACTCTGGTCCACCGAAAATAGACGCTACTCCGATCAAGAATGTTGCAGCGACAGAGAGAGATTTTACCGGCGAGAGCAGATAGTTGAAGAAGATGGATTTGGTAGCGATTTTAAATCATCGTTCTTTAATTTTATTTTATTATTTTTTTTGTTTTAAGGCAGGAAAATGGTGAATAAAAGCTGTTCATGTAAATGGAATTGTGCTTTGTTTGGCTGCGGACTTCTTTTTTATTTTTTTATATTTTATATTTTATTTTATGTATATTTAAATTGCCAGGTTATTTTATTTTTTAGTGTTTGTATGATCCTATTGTAAATGCAATGAATTTATTTTTTTTTCTTTCAGTTTTATAATCTCTTAGTGTTATTGATTGTGTTTAAACCTATCTCACTCTATTTCATTAATGTATTCTCACTAAAAAAAAAATTAATTTCCATTATTAAAATTTAAATTTTTAAAAATTATGTTTAATATTATATTATATTTTTGCATATAGAATATTATTAAATTTATCATGAAATTTAATTTTTTTAATATAAATTATATTAAAAAATGAAAATTATCCATTAAAAATTTGTTGGAATGTTATATTTTTATTAATCTTGGAATGTTATAAATTATATTTTTATTATTTCCGTAAGTATGCATCCGAATTACGAAACGACACCGTTTACCTGGAGGCCACCACTACGGGCTTTCCTCCTCAAAATTAGGGCTTGGGTGGTTGGTTATATTCTCTTCTAGGTCAGCTTTTGGGCGATTCTCATAGAAGTTGCAGGACCTTAATTCGCCATCATGCGGTACGTATTTTTCTATTATCTACTTCCTCCGACGATTTTTTATTCGATATCTGTGAATCTAAGTTCGCAATTCAATTATTGAACGAATTGCATTTGTGCCGACTGTTTTTACTGTGTTATACGAACTTTTTATATTGTTCAGTCTTCTTCATCTTGTTTTCTGAACCATTTTGCACGATAAAATGGAACTGGAACTCATAATGAACAAATTTCGAAGGAATTATTTCATACGAGCTACAGAAATCTTAAAATGAGAGTCAATTATGTTTTTCAAACAAACACAGCAAAAATTCTATAGACTACGACTAGGAGTTTGTAGTTTGCCATTGGACATGCTAAACAATTAATGAGGGCGAGGGGCATTCTATTTGTTTGTTCTTAATGTGAAAATCTGAATGATGAGATCAGAAGTCAAAATTTTGATAGCTTTACAATTATGAACAAATAGATTATAATTTGAAATTTTATTATATGCAAAGACGTATATTCATTACTTTTTAAGTATTTTTGAACAAGTAGTCAAATTTGATCGGTGATTGCCACGCGGTTTAATTTCTTTCTGTTCACGAAGCTGTGGATATCTCTGTCTTCAAGTTTGTAAGTTATTATATCTAATTTTGGTTTGTTTTACACCTAATTGGCAATAGATGGGACACTTATCTTGATGACGAGTGATTGTGGTTAAACAGCAAACTGCCCATTGTAATGGACAGTTTTGAAAAGAAACAGGAGAATGTTGATGAATCAACTCCCATTAAAAAGTGTTCTTGTTCATATTGGACGTTATGGGTCCATACTTCAAGCTGTTGCTCTATCATCTTCAACACCTGATAGTCTCATTACCACTGTACTTAACTGCAAAAGCCCCAAAAAGGCACTTGAATTGTTCAATGCAGCACCCGAAAAGAATACTCGGCTTTACTCGGCTATCATTCATGTCTTAGTAGGATCCAAGCTATTTTCCCATGCCAGATGTTTGCTAAAAGATCTCATACAAGACCTCCTCGTAAAATCTCGCAGGCCATACCATGTATGTCAGTTGGCATTCAATGCGCTGAGTAGCTTAAAAACCTCAAAATTTTCTCCAAATGTATATAGTGAGTTAATTATTGTCTTATCTAAGATGGGACTTGTAGATGAAGCTTTGTGGATGTACCGCAAGGTTGGGGTGGCGGTTGCAAGGCAGGCTTGTAATGTGCTTTTAGATGTCTTGGTTAAGACTGGAAGGTTTGAATTGTTGTGGGGGATTTATGAAGAAATGGTTTCCAATGGGCTGTCTCCTGATGTTATCACTTACGGCATCCTAATTGATGGTCGCTGCCGGCAGGGCGATCTTTTAAGGGCGCATGAAATATTCGATGAAATGAGAGTGAAAGGAATTGAGCCAACAGTTGTCGTGTACACCATTTTTATTCGTGGCCTCTGCTCGGATAACAAAATGGAGGAAGCAGAGGGTATACATAGATTGATGAGGGAATTAGGGGTACTTCCAAATGTGTACACTTACAACACTTTGATGAATGGGCATTGCAAGGTGGCCAATGTAAAACAGGCTCTTAGATTGTATCATGACATGCTGGGTGAAGATCTAGTGCCAGACAATGTTACATTCGGCATTTTAATTGACGGGCTCTGCAAATTTGGTGACATCAAGGCCGCTCGGAATCTTCTTGTGAATATGGTAAAGTTTAGTGTTACTCCTAGCATAGCTGTATATAATTCTTTGATCGATGGTTACTGTAAAGCAGGGGATATTTCTGAAGCAATGGCTTTCCTTTCGGAGCTGGAAAGGTTTAAGGTTTCACCAGACGTCGTTACTTACAGTATACTTATTAGAGGTCTCTGTTCTGCGGGTAGAATTGAAGAAGCAGATAACATGCTTGAGAAAATGATGAAAGAGGGAATTCCTGCAAACTCTGTTACATATAATTCACTTATTGATGGATGCTGCAAAGAAGGCAACATGAATAAGGCCTTGGAAATATGCTCCCGAATGATCGAGAACGGTGTAGAACCAAATGTGATCACGTTCTCAATGCTGATTGATGGTTATTGCAAGATAAGGAACATAGAAGCTGCTATGGGCATATACTCAGAAATGGGTATCAAAAGCCTTTCTCCTGATGTAGTTGCTTATACAGCTATGATAGATGGGCATTGCAAACATGGTAACATGAAAGAGGCTCTAAAACTCTATAATGATATGCTGGATAATGGTCTTACTCCAAATTCTTACACTCTTAGTTGCTTATTAGATGGACTTTGTAAAGATGGCAGAGTCTTGGACGCACTCGAACTTTTCACGGAAAAGGCTGAATTTGGGACTACAAAATGCAAGGTTGATGCAGCAGAAAGCAAGCTTTCCTTCACAAATCATGTGGTGTATACAGCTTTAATCCATGGATTGTGTGAGGATGGACAAATTTTCAAGGCAGCAAAGTTGTTTTCAGACATGAGAAGTTACGGTTTGCAACCAGATGAAGTAATTTATGTGGTCATGTTAAAAGGTTACTTCCAAGTTAAACGCATCCTCGACATGACGATGCTACATGCCGATATGTTGAAGTTTGGTATTGTCCCAAACTCGGCCATCTACTCGACATTGTCTAAGGGTTATCGAGAGAGTGGATTTCTGAAATCAGCTCTGAATTGTTCAAAGGAGCTTAAGGAACTATATTGTTGAAGCTATCAATGGGGAGCCTTTTTCTCAAGTCATCCAGTTGATTGCAATGAATTGACGGAGAACTTGAATCCACATTCTTTTCTCCCTGGAGTGAGTGGAAACTGCTCTCTCAAGTTCTGATCATGTATGTTATCACCAAATTTAATAGTAGCTTCAATGGAAACTGCTTCCAACTTCGAAGCTAACATTATCTTCTGCTGTTCTTGATTTGATCTGTTTTATGTTCATTATATTTTGAAATGCAGAATTGGGTAATTGGGGAAGAGGGGAACTGGTTTTCTGCTGTGATCAGTGATTAGAGAAGAGCTTGAGAAACAGATATGCTTTTGGATTCCTGGTTGTATTTCTCTTGATCTTGATCATTTTGGTGCTCCCATTTGAGCAGCACAAATTATGGCTATCAATTTTGAACGAGTTTTTCTTACCTTTATAATTGATGTATAAAATTTGAAAGGATTACGTGAATTCGTTCAAAGAGTATTATTCAGATTGAAAGCTAGCAAATAGAATGAGTCCGGAGGTAATATAATTGGATGAAGTATAGAAAACATAATTTCAATGCCTTGTTTCCCTAATTTGCTTACACGTTCGAAAAAAATGCTCTTAGCATGATTGGAGTTTTAACAAGTCCATGTTTGACGAACTTTGGCACAAATGTTGAAACGAACTTTGTTTTTAAAAACCCTTTGAAGACTTACCCGACCTATGGTTTTGACGAACTCAAAAGGTAACGAACTTCAGGTTTCTAGCCCTTCAAAGCTCCGAAGGGTCCATGTTTGGACGAACTCTAGAACGAACTTAGAGACGAGGCAAACTCTCGGAGGGATCTTTAGTTAGATTTTTACTATTATATTAAATGATATTTCCAAGTGGGCATTTGGTCTAGTGGTATGATTCTCGCTTAGGGTGCGAGAGGTCCCGAGTTCAATTCTCGGAATGCCCCAAATTTCATATTTATTTAATTTTTTTTTATTTCATTTAAACTTTAATCTTTGAACTCACAACGGTAATTCCGTAATTATTTAATCGAAATCGCATCAATTACCCGGAGGAGGTGTGTATATATATCGTCCGCTCCAAATTTCATGTCATTAGGGTTTAGAGTTTCCGCCATACAGTCTAACACACTTGCGTTTCGCATTTCGGTGCTTCTTGAAGAAGTCGCAACACCTTCTTAATCCGCAACCATGGGGTACGCATGTCTATCTCCTTTACTTCCTCTTCATCCAATTATGTTTTCTCGAGGAAGTTGCAAAACCTTTTCCAAGGATTTGCCTTCATTCTATCTGCTTTTATCTGCATTATAGGAGCCTCATATGAACGATTTCGAAGGCGTTATTTCATACGGATGTTTGATTTTAAACTGGATGCTTGTTAGGGTGTTAAACTGGAATTTGTACACCAGGAGAAACGATGTTTTGATCTTTTGAGGATTGTTTTTTTCTTTCTTTTTTTGCTCAAAAGAAGAATCAAAATGTCTTGGTTAAAACATGTACTGATACGTTCTAGTCGGTTTTCTGAACAATCGATAGGCTCGGAGTTGTAGATAATATGTTTTGTGACTATATTCCTACTCTCTCTCTCACTCTCTCTCTCTTCGTTTGTTCATATGCTTGATCGTTCTAGTTCGTTTTCTGAACAATCGATAGGCTCGGAGTTGCTGATAATCTGTTTTGTGACTATAATCCTACTCTCTCTCTCTCTCTCTCTCTCTTTTCGTTTGTTCATATGCTTGATCGTTCTAGATGGTTTCCTGAACCATCGTCAGGCTCGGAGTTGTGGATAATATGTTTTGTGACTATAATCCTACTCTCTCTCTCTCTCTCTTCGTTTGTTCATATGCTTGATCGTTCTAGTTGGTTTTCTGAACAATCGATAGGCTCGGAGTTGTAGATAATATGTTTTGTGACTATAATCCTTCTCTCTCTCTCTCTCCGCTTGTTCATATGCTTGATAGAATTTTCCGATGGTGTGATTGCATATAGTTACAAGAATTTATTCATATGCTATGTTCAAATTCTATCGTTGATAGCTTCTCTTTCCTTCTTCACTTATCCACGTGGTTGAAATAATTTATCTGATAATATAAGTGGAAACAACTTGTGGAAATTCCGATGATGTTATTGTATATAGCTATAAGAATTTATTCATATACTATGCTCTTGAATATGTTTGTTTACAACTTTTATTCGTAGTTTCCATGGTTCCTAATCCTTGTTGTTGAATATGACGATGTTATTGTCGTATTCATGTATTTAGCCTCTTGTTCTCTCTATCAGTGTCTATAATGCTGTGAACAAAGTTTGAATAATACCTTCCAAATTCATATTTCATATGCAAAGCTTAGATAATCGATGTTATTGTATGACAGTTTCTATATGCAATTTTGTTCATATGCTTGACAGAATTTATTCCGACAATGTGATTGCATATAGTTACAAGAACTTATTCATATGCTATGTTTGAATTCTATCGTTGATAGCTTCTCTTTCCTTCTTCGCTTATCCATGTGGTTGAAATAATTTATCTGATAATATAAGTTGAAACAACTTGTGGAAATTCCGATGATGTTATTTTATATAGCTATAAGAATTTATTCATATACTATATGCTTTTGGATATGTTTTTGTTTACAACTTCTATTCGTAGTTTCCATGGTTCCTCATCCTCGTTGTTGAATACGATGATGTTATTGTTGTATTCATGTATTTAGCCTCTCGTTCTCTCTATCCGTGTCTATAATGCTGAGAACAAAGTTTGAATAATACCTTCCAAATTCATATTTCATATACAAAGCTTAGATAATTGACGTTATTGTATGTCAGTTTCTATATGTAATTTCGTTGGAGGAAACATAAACATAGATACCTCATACTCATTGAATTTCATATTCATGCCCTCAATTTTAATATTCATATTCATTGAATTTCTCATCTGACAAGAGTCATTATTTCCATGAAAAATCTGGAAGAATACATTCTTAGCAACTGATTTACTCACACCGTGTTCTTCAGACATACACATTGTATAAGTTTGTCCAACTCCTTATTAGCTTATTTCCCAAATCCTGTGATGGTAATGGCCGATTGTTGTTTGATATGTGTAACCGTCTAGCTGGTCTGATCATGTAATATGAGTTTTGTATTTATTTTGTTTGCATTATCTTGCAGGAAGACTCGTGGAATGGGAGCGGGTCGTAAGTTGAAGTCCCACCGTAGAAGGCAGAGGTGGGCCGATAAGGCGTATAAGAAGTCCCATCTCGGTAACGAGTGGAAAAAGCCCTTTGCAGGGTCATCTCATGCGAAAGGGATTGTGCTAGAAAAGATGTAAGGTTATTATTGGATCTTATGCTACTGTCGAAGAATTGTTTATATTTACAAATTTGAATTTGCAAATGCAGTGGTATTGAAGCCAAACAGCCAAATTCTGCTATTCGAAAATGTGCTCGTGTTCAACTCATCAAAAATGGGAAGAAGATTGCTGCTTTTGTACCTAATGACGGTTGCTTGAATTACATCGAGGAAAATGTAAGTCAATCTAATTATTGATCATATCATGTTTTTTCGTTGACTTTGCTTTGCTTTCTAATTTGCCTGTAAAAAAGTTTTTGAAAACTAGAAAATGACATGGCGGATAGTTTTTTTCAGTCATAAAAATGTTTCTAAATTTATATAAGTAAACAAAATTTTTGAAAATAGTTTTCTGCTTTCAAAGTTCTTCCACTTATCTTCATAACTTTATTTGTCGACTTTATATTATGTTTGAAAAAAAAACAATGTATAATTTTCCACTTATCATCGAGGAAAATGTTTCCACTTATCTTCAGAAAATTTCAAAGTTCTTATAATTTTAAATTGAGAAAAAAAAAAAAAAAAAAACAATGTATGCCTTTTTTATGATATAAAAATTGGAATAATTTGATAGTGTTATTTTATATTATGTTTGAAAATTAAATAATTTGTTTATTTTAACACGTTTTAGTTATGTTATATTACAGGACGAAGTATTGATCGCCGGGTTTGGACGGAAGGGTCATGCCGTGGGAGATATTCCTGGTGTTAGGTTCAAGGTTGTGAAGGTCTCTGGAGTTTCGCTCTTGGCTCTCTTCAAAGAGAAGAAAGAGAAGCCAAGGTCCTAGAAAATTTTACTCTTGGTTCTCTCACCCAATTTTTGGTTAGCTTTTAACTATATTTTAAAATCAATTCAAATCACTTTTATTAAAAAATTTACATTAGTATTTATTCTTCCAACACAACACACTCAATAGATAATGAATAACGGTGTCGGTTCAATATAACATGAACATAAGAATATTCATTTTATCATTCATGAGATATTTGAAGATTTGAAGGTACTGCACGAAATGTGTCAAAGAGTTTTCAGGAATTGATTATTGCCATATTGGACGATCCTGCTAGCTATATGAATCACAGTTAAGGACTTCAAGATACCGGTACTTTTATTAGGATTTTACACGTCGATGGTTATCCTCTTTGATCCATTGCTTATTTGTACTGATGCTATATAAGAGCATAATATTATTTGGGGAAACTAAGATGGATTGATGAACATATTATTATGATGTTGGCAAGAAATTACCATTATTTGAGAGACACTTTGCTCATCTGAAGCTCTGTAATGAAGGGAAATCAAAACCAGATAAATACAATGGCAGTTACATGAAGGCTCGGATTTATAATTTAAACAACTTCATCTCACATTTTTCCTAATGATTCTTATTAGTAAATTACATTTTATCTTGTTTTAATTTATTTTTTGTATATCATGATCCGTAATTAAACTTATTAACTGCATGATCTGAGAAGACTAAGCACAATCCTAAAGAAAATAACCCCTGAACCTTAGATATGTGTTCTGTAAATCTAACCAAATCTAGATTCCCCTGGTCTTCCTACTTTTTAGATGTTAGATATTTGTTTTGTAAATATTATTAAAAGCTATGTTATTTATAGATTGCAGGAAAAAACTCTCCTGAAAATACAGGAAAAAACATTTAATCGAACAGATTAAGCCATCCATTTTTTTCAAAGAAACAAACGGCATACTATTAGGTATGCAATAATCATTAAGGTAGCAGCATACCTTCGCCGGTGAAAAGTCTGAAGCTAAACTCTTAAGGAAGTTGTGATTTTCAACTTTGCTGTTTAGTGTTTGGTTCTAGCGATTGAGAAGGCCATACCTGGAATCATGCGCCGATTACACTTGGAATCCGGTAACACCTGTTCCGGAGCATAAACCTTCCTCTGGATATTTGATCTTGCTGTAAATACGATTCAATCGGCGAATCGCTAAGCATACAAAAAGTAGTCAAGGATCAATTACAGGACAAAGATGAATTTCACTTGTGCCTGAAACATCAAACTACAGAAGATGAGCTTCCTTCAGCTATCATTAAAACCAATCACCACAAAAGTAGATCATAACAAAGAAACATTTAGTACGAACATAGCACACTACTGGCGATCCTACCCTGACATAAGGAAGCTCAGCGCTGCAGCGATCGCGCACAAAAGAAATGTGCACGGAAGCAAGACTAGAAAGCTTGGAAGCCGCATCTAATCAATAAAAGATCAGTTCAAGATTCAAGCATCTATGTGATCCAAGTACGATGTATAAAAATAAAGGTTCTATAGCCATTAGGACGCAAGAGATTATGAAACACCACGCGATATGTTCAGAATCCGAGTTTCTAAGTATAAATTCCAAACAGCAATCAGAGGCGAAATGATAAGCTCGTAGTCTACATCATAATCAACAAGAAAAGCAATTCGAGGTTCAAGCATCCGTCTCATCCATTCCTTGTAATTTTAATAAAGAGTAAATACAATAGAGATTCCAAACCACCATCCCCTAGACATAACGAAGCTCAACACGGAAACGATCGCGCACAGAAGAAATGTTCACAGTTGCAAGATTGAGAAGCTTGTAAGCAACATCATCATTCAATAAAAGAATCAATTCAAGATTCAAGTATCTCTATTATCCAAGTATAATGTATGGTAATCAAAACTCAATTACAATTAGTACAGTGGCTTATCATAGCAAAAAAAGAGATAAACAAAAAATTTCAGTCAACGAATCCACTATTCATCAAAGTGGCTTATCATAGCAAAGAAATAACAGTGCGACTCCATTCCGGATGAAGAACAAGAAATTAAGTTTCACAATTATGCTTTCTCAATGCTCTGATAGTCGCACGACTCGCTTAGAACACAGCAATTAAGATTACCAAGCGAAAACGGGAGAAAAGAAACGAATCGAAGTAGAAAGTTATAAACAGAATCGAAAACGAGAGTACCTGAGAGTTGAGATTCTTGAAATCTGTGCTCAGAGGACATAACGACGGATTCGAGCTTTTCATTCTTCATGAATTATCTCTTGGCAAATCATAATCAACAAGAAAAGAAATTCGAGGTTCAAGCATCCGTCTCATCCAATTACATAAAAATCAAAATCCTATAATAATTAAGAAAGAAAAGAAGATGTAATTCCAGACAATATATGCAGAATTCAAGTTTTCATCCATTCGTTGTAATTTTAACAAAGAGTATATACAATAGAGATTCCAAATCACCATCCCCTGGACATAACGAAGCTCAACATAAAAACGATCGCGCACAGAAGAAACGTTCACAGTTGCATGATTGAGAAGCTTGTAAGCAGCATCATCATTCAATAAAAGAATCAATTCAAGATTCAAGTATCTCTATTATCCAAGTATAACGTATGGTAATCAAAATTCAATTACAATTATTACACAAGAACTAAGAGAAGATGAAATTTCAGAAGATGCGTACAGAACACAGCAAGAGAAAATATAATCATGTAATCATCGTTACTTCTAAGAGAAAATATAACAGAAGAAAAGCCATAAACAAAAAGTTGCGGAGTCAACGAATCCACTATTCATCAAAATCGCTTATCATAGTAAAGAAATTACAGTGCGACTCCATTCCGGATGAAGAACAAGAAATAACGTTTCACAATCATGCTTTCTCGATGCTCTGAAACTCGCACGACTCGCTTAGAACACAGCAATTAAGATTAACAAATGCGAAAACGGGAGAAAAGAAACGAATCGAAGTAGAAAGTTATAAACAGAATCGATAACGGAAGTACCTTAGAGTTGAGATTCTTGAAATCTGTGCTCATAGGACATAAAGACGGATTATCTCTCGGCAAATTGATCCAGAAGCAGATGGAAGGAAGGAGAGAGGATTTTATGAAATTTGAAGTTCCAAATGATTAGAAAAGGCAGATGGAAGGAAGGCGGGAGCGGGACACTTATATATTTTGAATTATATACTTATAAATTTGAAATTTTATTTTATTTGATATTATCAAATACTAATTATAAAATAAAGTTAAGTGTAATAATTAAACTAAATTGATGTATTAACAATTTTTGTAAGATCAATTTTTCGTTAAAGATATAAATTGATTCACTTATTTATTTATTTATTAAAATTGAAAAGTTGAGAGTTTTAATAGATAAATATATTTTAAAAAGTTTCTATAAATATATATTTTTTTAATAATTATCCATCTATCTAAATATATATTAAATATTTAAATATTCAAAATTATGATGACCATCCAAAATATGGCAATAAATTGCTACTATCCTAAAATGTTAACTAATAATTATAAATATGGAAATGCACTAAATAATTATAAATCTGGGCATTTAATATTGAAACTAATTTTTATTTTAAAATGATTTTTTACAATATTTTCAAATTATACAAAATTTTAAATGTCATTTTTTTACATGATTTTAATTTTTTTTTTTAATTGAAATTTTCATTTTTAAGATGGTCTCCTTTGGGTCATATTAGTATGAATATTAAATATTAAAAAAAAAAAACTAAAAATAAAAATAGTTACTTGCCTATTATTTTTTTTAATCATTTTTACATTATTTTCTCTAGAAAAATATATCTCCATAAACATTTTAAATTAATTTTTTTCTCCCCTCCAACCAATAAAAAAGAATGAGATTAGTTCGATCTTCGGTCTTTATTGTCATCCTTTGCATATGGTGAGCTTGGTAGTAGTATAGGTCAAACCTCGAGATATTTTTTTAGGGTTGAACTTGATTCCCACTTCAGGTAGTCTTTCTTCGGTAATTCGCTTGGAAAGTAGTCTTTCGTAAGCAGTAACGTAACGCTTTGCGACTTCTTATATTTAAAGTTAGTCGTGTAGCTACTTCAATGATACTATTTTTCCGTACCATTATGAAAGAAGATTCACGTAAAATATGGACTCCGTTGGGAATGGGAAAAATTTGATTCGCTTTTATTTGTATTTGGTATTTTGTCTTAAAATCTTTGACTTCTCGATACTCAATCAAATCTTGTTTTGTAAGGATTGAATGTTTGCTTATAGTTTCAAGTAAAAATATAATTTATACGAAAAAAAACTATTTATGGGTATTTCAATAAAATATCCCTCCTCCTTTATGGGGGTTCGAGCCCTACCAGAAAAGAGGCCTTGGCGAACTGTCATAATTAGTGAACAAATGTAAGTTTCATTGATACTGACCACACCGAGGGACAAGCCCTAAAGCAAAGGACAGAAACGAGCAAAATCAATGTGTTCAAATTTTCTAGCCTTGCACCAACATCTAATGGACCATGGACTAGACGCCCACGCCTTAAAGGACTATGTCTAGGAGACCACCGTCCCGTATAGTTCTTTTTCTCGTCCTTTAAGTGGTTTAGTGACATATAAATCACTCGGCTCAACTTTGTTTAGTGAGCTCAACTCGAGTAATCGATCTAACACCCTTTTAAGTTGTTCCGAGCATATAATTCTTAATTTTACATTAAACCCGACCACTTTTTCGAACGGTTCATAACATAACTTTTTAGTTTCTCTCTCTTACATGCAACATATAGTCCCAAACCCGAACAATGGCTTGAAAATATGGCAAGTATTCTTGCCAAAACTTTCAAGAGAGAAGCCTATATTGGAAATATGTTAATGGAGTTTGGATTCCATTCCTGCAACGAACACATAACCCTTCAAAAGCATCGATTCATGCAACCCAAATTCCTCCATGGCGTCTCTTCATGCCATTAAATACCAACCCCAAGCCTTCTCCATTTCCTCACCATTTTTTTCTTTTTTTATTAATTATTATTATTATTATTTTTTTTTTTTTGTAAATGGCTTCCTCTTCCTCTTCCTCTTCCTCTTCCTCTTCCCCACGCGCTGATATTTACACTGTAACGCAAGAGGAATTCAACGTGTTCCACACGATCGACAGAACTCTCTTCACTCGCATGGTGTTCACACTGGGCCGCGACCCGGACGAGTCGGTTCGGGTCATGGGCCTCTGGCTCTGGCTCGAACAGAACGGCGAAGAGTTCAATTTAGTCTACAAAATGCTGTCGTTACCCGACGCGTTGGTGGACGCTCTGTTCGACGAGGCTGTCTTGTCGTTAGCCTGTATAGAAAACGACAAATTCCCCTTCGAACCGGACACGTCGGTCGATATTCCACTCATTCAACACGTTTCTAAAACCCCGGTTTCCCTCCGGTTCTTCCATCAGAACCGGCTTAGGATCCTCCGTGGCGTTACCAAGATTTGTACTGATATTTGCTATCGGGCGTTTAAGGACATTCTCTACGCGCTTGAAACCCGGCGCGTACTTTCACGAGCCTCCGTGCCCGTTCCCGCGATTCACGGTGGACGTGGAAGTTACTTCGCGGCGGCTCCGGCTAGTCCGCTTGTTGTTCCAGCTTTTGGATTTGTGAATGTGAGGGGAGAGAGTTCGCCGCCGCCGCCGCCGGAGGCGGCGACGGCGAGTCAGAGTGCGAGAGTGGGTAAACGGAACGTGATTTCGAAGAGTGAAATGAGTGATTTGTTCGGTCGTTTAAAGCTGAGGAGTGGGAAGGAAGAAGGGGAGGCGGTTCCGCCGGACGAGAGGACCATTTTTCTGACGTTCTCCAAAGGATACCCAATCTCTGAGGAGGAAGTTAGAGACTATTTTGGCAGGTTTTTTTTTAATTATTATTATTATTAAATTTTATTATTTTTATTTTTATTTTCCCAATATTTCTCTATATTCCTCTGCATGTGGATTTTTTTGTCAATATTTTCTAGATTATCGTGCAGTCAAAATTTTCATAATTAGGGAAATATTTTTAATTTATTTATTTTTAATTCCCTTCCTTATTTGACTTTTTAATTTTATTAATTTGAAAATCTTTATTTTATTGGTACCATCATTTATCATTTATCTCCCGAGAATAATCATGAGTTTATAATAAAAAAAATACTATCAGAATAAAGTTATGAGAGCTTATGCTTAAAATGGATAATATCATATCATTGTAGAAGGTAGTGTTCGTCTAATATATTATTAAAGTCAATGCTCTAAAACTTAGTCGTGGCAATAGATTGGTAAACCCTTAAATATCATAGAAGTCAATCTGTATTATTTTTTATTTTTTTGTATACTGTTTGTTAAGTTATTTTTCAAAAAACAGTGAGAATAAAAAAGTAATTTTTTAAAATATGTTTTATTTGATTAAAAATTTAAATATTTAAATAAAAAAAGAGAGAAAAGGTCACTAAATTTTTCACTAATGTATAATAGATTAATATTATGTATAAATTTAAATTTTAAAATTTTATTTTATTTTTAAAAAATTATATGCACAAAAATTCAGAACCTTAAATCTAACATATGAAAATCTGATTCTGGAGCAGAAGATATGGAGATTTCATAGAGAGCATTCACATGCAAGAGGCGCAGCCGCCGGAGCAGCCGCTGTACGCCCGGCTCGTCGTCAAAACGGAATCCTCCATCGACCTCGTCCTCGAAGGAAGGACCAAAGCTAAATTTTCCATTAACGGCAAGCACGTTTGGGCTCGAAAATATGTCCGTAAAGCCCCCAGGTCGCCGCACCGACCTTCACCACCGTCGACACGACCGCCGTCTCCGCCGCTGATCGATGGAGTTAGAGCTTTCAACTTCCCGACACCGCCGCCCGCGCCCTGATGTCTCCGGGAAGCCGTCTGTTCTGTGCCGTTCGTGTGTTTGAATTGTGGAAATCGTCGTATACCGTCTAAAATATAATGCAGATTATACGAACTGTTTTTTTTTTCTCTAAATATAGTTATGTATGTAAGGAATAAATTAAATGTAATTACGTGTCGCCCAATCTCAGTTATCATAATATTATATTGAGAATATTGTATTAGTGTTTTTACTCTTATGTTGATATATACAATATAATTTAAAAAAAAAAATCTCTTACGCAATTATTCAAATAATAATAAGAATAATAATATCAAATTTCAACCATATCCTTATGGGTGATAAGGCCCGGGAATGAATTCACAACCGTATGGCTGATGGGTGATTACCGACTCCGACTTCATGTAGGTAAGTTGCAACCTATAATCAGAATTGAGGATGAGTTTTTGGGGTTAGCACACTCTCCTGTGATTAGAGAATGATCAATGGTTTATAATTAATTAATACTCCTTCTATTAGTTTTGAGACCTTTTGTGGAAGCCCAAAATAGAGCCATGAGAGTTTATGTTCAAAATGGACAATATCATACCATTGTGGAGAGTCGTGTTCGTCTAACACCAGCCACCGTAGCACATGTTGTGTAGGATGAGACATGATGACTTGACATTGATAAGGGTGAAGCACACTGCCGAATGTTGTTAGGGTCGTGCCAATGTCGGGGTCAGGGTTTGATTATCATCGACACATAGTAAGCTTGTATACTGAAGAAAAATACAATTCACATTCCAATATCCGAAATAGCCAAACGCCCGAACACAAGAACTGTACACAACACAAGCAATCTCGCAGGCTAATCTTTTAATTGTCATACAACTTTCTGAACAAACCATTCTTTTCATGCAATACCAAGAAACAATGCCTCAATAAGTAGATAGGGATCAACACGATATACACACCGAAAGCCAACGAAAGCCTCCTTTCTTCTTTTAATTGCAACTTTATCGTCATCATCTATGATTTCTATCGTCAACCATGGTCTAGCATCGAAGAAAGACCGATTCGTAGGCTATACTGTAGGGATCTGTACGTAAGTCGACAATGGTTGACAAAATATGGTTCATGAAGAAACTCCTTCCGTAAGGAACTGTCAATCAAACTCATTTCTTACTGTTGTAATGAACAGTCACTGCCAGGAAATTTACGATGCCTGCTGTAATTGACTTCACCTATCAAGATATCGTGGTGCACTAAGCTCACTTCTGTCACTGTAAGGCACACCACTGCCAGGATACCAATGGTGAACTGAACTCACTTCTTTCGACTGTAATGCACGCCACTGCCGGGATACCGATGATGCAGATGACGCGACCCACCGCTCCTCCCGCCAGATGACTCCCAATTGTTTCCTCGAGTAGGGACTCTATTGCCCCCTGTTTGCATCCAGTTCATTGTTTGGGAGCCTAATCCATTATTTTCTTCCTCTTCTCGGTCATTGTACTCTAAGATTAACCTCTTAATATCTTGCTTCTCTTCTAGCTCTGCTGCTTCTTTCTGTTTCGTGCTCTGTAGAAGTGCGGAATCACGAGGGATGTACATCTTCTTCGTTTTCTGCTTGTTCCCACGCTTAACAAGAACTTTCACCTGAACCTCTTTGCTTCCCCCAGCATCCTCATCCAATCCCTCATCCCCACTCTCTCCCCCAGTCCCCCTTCCATGGTGGTCCCTCGTCGATCCCTCGAACAAATTCATTGGTATCATCATATTCAATGTTGGTCGACCACGTATCTCTTGCCTACGCTGATCCATGCTCTCCTGCATTAGGAAATAACTTAATCAACAAATTAAGCCATTTAAAACCCGAATGAATTTTAAAAAAATATTGAACGTGCTGTTGCATTCATCAAGTCATGGCAAGAAAATAAAGTGATCACAAAAATAATTCTTGCCTGCATTACAGCCCTGAGTTCCTGATCAAAATTGGCTTCTTCCCTGGGATCTACCTCAGACACTTTCTGTCTAACGTGAACCTCATCATCCTCATCAGAAGCAGGTCGACCAGCTTCCTCATCATCTTCGTCATCGTCACTGTCACATCCATCCTCATGATTCCCCAAGTCTGACTCTTCATCGTCACATCCCTCTGCCTCAATAGTGCCACTTCCTGTATCACTGTCACTATCGACACCGTCTCCATGAGATGCACCATTTTCCCTAGAGCCATTCACCGTGTCCCTTCCATTAGCTGAGGTGGTATTGGAAGTTGCTCTGCTCATAGGCTTTTCAGCATCAAGGTGCTTCTCGGTATTGGACTTGTCGCTTGAGACAGAACGTTCGTGCTCCTCAAGTTCTACAAAAGCAGCATTTACATCTTCAATGGATGAGTACCTAGTCATGTTTGGTTGTAATTCCGCAAATAAATCCTGTAAACGCAACTTCATCAGATTATTTGACATGCAGGAATGGAGGAAGATAGAATAAATGAAGACGTGCAACGGAGAGTAATCAGTAAAAATTGTAACTTTCTTCCTCCTTTCAAAGTTTCACCAAATTGACAAAGATCACAAGAATAACAATTGTACTAGTGACCCTGAAAAATTTGCAAATGTTATAAAGCATTTGGCAAGTAAACTAACAAGATAATCAACTTGCCTGTAAGTCGAACTCTACATCCAATGGAAGCCCGCCTTTGCTGAGAATATATTTCTGGAAGTGTATAAAAAATCGATCAAGTTTCCTCTTTGAAGATCCTCGATCGAAGTAGTGACCACAGGTTTGAAGAAGAGTGATAACCATCCTTATGCGGAAAGTGTCCTCGGGTGGATCCAATACATCTTGCTAAAAGCAACAAAGACCGATCACATGAGCCTTGAAACAAAACATTCATTCAACCAGATCACAACGAAACAAACTTGTACTCATAAAACAAGACTCAGTATCCTCCACAAGCATTGAACATATGTTTGGTCCACATCATTTATCGTATAATCCCAGAATGTCCTATAAGGCTCAAGTCCTTACCAATTTTACTGTCCCATCCCCATTGATTTCTGCTTAAAACTAAGGTTGCTCATGTCTTAATGAAATTGAAAATTTGAGAGTAATAACTCAGTTCATGGGATTCACAAACTATTTGTACGTTAAATTATCAAAAGAACAAAAAAAATATATCAATAGTGAAGATTCAACAATTCTATAAGCACTGTTGACTTTAGTTTATAAAGAATCCAAGATGCAAATTGAATACATAGTGCACACAAAAAAATAAAATAAAATAATAATAATAATAAAATAAAATCAAGAAAAGGTTTTCAGGTGGGGTGGTAGCAATGATCAACCATATTACCAAGCCTACGGTTAACAACCGTAACATGTCAGGGTAAAATTAAATTTATAAAAAAAAGGAGAAAAATCAACAAAACAAGTTCCGTACCTCTGACGTGCCATGGCCAAAGAAAAGCATCAAATAAAGGGTATCAAAAACAACAGATGAATCTACAAGTTCATAGTTGTACAACTCCCCCAAAAACCTCATATGGGCAATGCGTTTTTGCTGCATCCCGTAATCATTTACTTCGAGTCCAAGCCTAATTTCTTCCAATACCTAGAAAATAATAGAGATAAATAACCACCTTCAGAATGAATAAAATAGATAAACCAGCTATGAACAAGAGAACCTGATCAAATATGCAAACAACATGCTATGAACAAGAGAACCTAATATCCAAACATTTCCTCCTTCCAAGAGATGCAATTTCAGAGACTGCTCAGCAATTTTATCTTTATCTACTATGGCTCCACTACGATTATCAATTTTTAATCACTCAAACAAGAACATAGTAAAATTGTTGTTCTGGTCATCCAAAACATACTGTGCCATTTTCAGAGATTGCATCACAAATAACTATTACAATTCTTAGACAAGAGAAGTTGTACGTCAAATCCACAAAGACAAGTGGGTATTCCAATTCGCAAAGCAAATTACTAGGAGCAGTCAAATTGATAATTAAGTTTTATGTCTAGTTTCTACAAGTACTGAACTAATGTTCTACTTGTTCTACTATAATTAAAAACTTATATCTAGTTCGATACTCATGCATGACAAAAAAATCCAAACTGACATATTTTAGAGGACAACATGCTTAAAATTGTAATGCATATTTTAGAAACCGACTTGGTAATCAAATGACAAAAAGAGTGCTCAAGGAAGGTATGTAGGAGAAAGTATATGCAAAAGGACTAGATATTGATGAATTTAAAGACATTAGTGAGAATATACAGAAAGAAATTAAGAAGTACGTGAACATTATTAAAAAGACCCCTTAATGCAGCAAAGGAGTTAGTGAAGATCAAAAGAATAAAGAGAGGTTGTAAAATAAAAGGGTAAAGAAATCAGTATGAGAACATCAATCCAGAAAGGCTTTTGTGAAGTAGAAAGTGTAGTTATGCAAAAATCCATACGCTCTATGGGTAGTGATCTTATCAGGCAGACTAACAGTCTCATTTTAAGTTTCAAATGTTCTCAATGAACTGGACATACCTCGTCAACAACAGCAACCGAGAATTCATCATGATATCGACTCAAACCAGACGTTAAAGAAGCAAGCAAGTGAATCTGGCCATACTTCCCTTTCTGAACTTTCATAAAACATTTTAAAAGGTATTGCTCACATTCACTCCATGGAAGCTTCCGAAGTTGCCTCAACACATTTTCAAGGGCAGACTTGTCTAGATCTGAGAAGAGCAACTTTCTAATATACTGCAGGATACGATGAGTAAATAAAACATAAGAACCAACTGTACTTGGGGAAAAGCTTGTGAGTGTAGGATGCAACCATACCTGATGCAATGGTGGACGAACTTTTGACACCCGTGCAGATCTCTCTGGAGGCTTGCAAAGATAGTATGCATTCTCTACCAGGGTGCTATGTCGAGGATCCAAATTTTTTACATTTTTCAAGCGCATCAATATCTCCAGCATGTTAGCCATCCGCACTGCAGTTTCAGGAGACCGATAAAGAAAACGACCACAGGACTCGAGAAGATTACAAGCAACATCAATGTTGTGGTGAGTGAAATCATCTAAACATGCCTGCCAAATAGAGATAAAATTTGTCCATGAATTTCCAACCACAACAGCTAAAAATACATAGAAAGTAATGAAGGAAAGAATAAACATCAACAGGTGTCTCCTCCGCTCATACCTTCAAACAGCTAAAAACAAGACCAGCTGAAGCAATTTTGAACTTGCAGAGCTCTCCAATAAACCTAATATTTCTAATCTTCGTTTCAATGTTCATTTGGTCCTGCAGAAGAAAATAGCTTATGAAAAACAGTAAAGAAATAAATAGAAGATAAAAGGATAATTCCATCCCCAAAAAATTTATACCAACTAAAATGAGACCTTTTTGTTCAATAAAAAATTGAACTCCTCCTCTAACATCTGGAGGAGAATGACAGACACATCCTTCATACAAGTTGACAACGTAGCAACCATGCGTGAGTAGTATGGCAGCAATTCCAAAGATGTCCTAGGTACATTAAACAAAGCCCTGGCGAGCTTCTTTCGGTTAGCCTTGGAATTCAAATAACAGAACTCTACCTGCAAGTATACAAGAATACTAACATCACATTTTTCACAAATTTCCAGCCTTCCATCCCCTCTAAAAAAAATTCACAGTCAAACTGGGAGATAGAGAATCAATTACAGTCAACTGATCAATAAGGTCACGGCTGACACAACCAGGGAGTCTCTGTAACAAAGCATCCAAATTTGTTCCTTCAATATTTTTTAGCTTTTCTTTTTCATTTTCCATCTTTCTATCTGCGTCCTTTTCTTTCCCCTTCTCCTTGTCTGTATCCTTGTTCTTTTCTTTATCCTTTTCTTCTTTGTCCTTTCCTTTCTCATTGATTTTTCCATCCTGTAGCGAACCATCTGTAGAAATCTCCACGGCCTCTATGGATGTTTGATGACCTTGGTCTGCTTCAGATTCCTTTTAAGATAGAAGACATCCAAATTCTTCAACTAATAACAAGCATAAAAATGCATTTTCATGGAATAGGCTAACAAGGACCACGAAGGATCAATTTTTTTTATAGGTAGGGTGCTCGGTAATTAGTTTTGGACCATTTTGTCCACTCCCCCATTCATAAATTACAAGCATATCTAATTCTTTCAGTTATTAAAATTTTAAATTTAATACCCATAAATGTTATTTAGAGTTCATATTCCACTCAATTAAAAAAAAAGTTTAAAACAATATTTTCGATATGTTTTAAATAAAATAGCAAAATAAAGTAATAGATATAAACTCCACTTAAACTTCATATTAACAGTTCAATGTTTTTTTTTTTCTTTTGAAGAATACTGAAAAAAAGGTATTAGGAAAAAAGTATGCTTGGATAAATATAAATATGAATAGGTACATGTATTAACAAATGTCAATACGTGACCAACAAGTGTTAGGGTGTCAAGTGTCCGACACGCTAGCCAACTAAAGTATCCATGCTCTAGTGAGAAAAGAGTTTTCTTTTTTCCTTAGGAAAAAGAGTAGAGAGATTATTATAAAACAGTTGAGGAAAAATTGAAGTTTTGAAACAAAATTGTAAGCCTGAGGAATTACAGCCAGATTTTCTGCCGGCTTTGCAGATTGCTCGTTTGCTTTAGGCTCTGCTTCTCCCAACAGTACCGCTGGAACAAATGCCCTGAAAAGCACATTCAGCATACCACTAATTTAATTCTTGTAAGAACACAATGGACTATGTGATAAGAAAACGTTAATGAGACGTGCAATCAGAATCTGACTATGCACAAATGTAGAACACTTCTTACACGTATATGTCCAAAAATATGTTTAAGTCTAGGTAACTAAAAGAAGTATAATTTAAAATGGATGCAAGCTTTCCCTCAGACAATCTATAATCTGACCAGGCCAAACCTGAGATCTGGTAGGCATTCATAGAAAGCCCGGGTGTCTTCGTCATCCCATATGGCTTCGAGCACAGAAGAATCCTTTCCAGAAGCAGGTGATGAAACATCTTCTCCTGCAGAAACCCTGGTTGTGTGACCATCTTCTGGCATCACTGGGGGGTGCATATCAAGTGCTTCTGCTAAGCTGTGCAAATGTTCATTAATTTTCCAGTGAAAAATAGTTCATGGAATCTATTTTACTTTGTGATGAGCTCAAAAAATCATATTTTTAATTACAATATCGTCATAATTTTCTTCACATGAAGCAATTGACAACCCATCTTATTTCTTTGAGCAATTTTCGTCTCCATCCACATCTTATTAGAATAACACTTATATTTCTCCAATGCATCTCAACTACCTCTGATCTCAACATGGTGTGCCATACTCGTCTATAAAGGATTACTTCGCTCATATTTGAATTAGAAATACCTCCAGAATACTTAAATAAGAAACTGTTTCATTATAAGAATACGAGGATACCAAGAATACAGTATAAGAATTAAATCAGTACTCATTAAACACATTAAGAATTAAGGCTTATCAATTAGATGAAATGGAAAAAAAAAAGAGAGAGAGAGAGAGAGAGAGTTTTAATTCAATGCAAAAGGTGCAATAAAGAATTAATACGCAAATTGTCAAGTAAATTTAGATTTTGATGAGGGAAACGTTGAGGAATAATTCCATATATCCATCAAGTCAACAATTGATTGTTAAAAACCTTGTACCACGAGTGTCATAGTGCAACTTACGATGAGACATTTCGATATAGATGGTCATAAGATTTTCGCAACTTCTCATATGAAGAGACATTTTCATCACTAAGTTCTCCTTTTGCATTCAAGATCTTTGCATTTTCATGCTCCATTTGGCGAAGTGACTGCCATTGAAAGGAATGTGACAAGCAAATCATCATTACAAGTGTAAATTATATTCTTTCATTCATCATGATGGAAGTTGATCACCCATAAAAATGTTACAAGAATAAAATTCATAAAATAGCAGGATTATTCTGTTTGTATAATAGCCTAAAAATGTTTTTAAAAAACACACATCCTGATGAACTAACAACAAACAACCAAATCAAGAACCTTATCATTGAATATGAGGAAAGTTAGTGGTAGATCAAGTAAGTAGCTCTAGAGAAGGAAGTGAATTGCTTACAGTATGTTCAGACTGAAGCAATTCTGCTGCAGCATCATAATATGTATGAAACGCCTTTCTGAAGAATTTCTTTTGGTCGGCAGTAATATTGAGGCTCTTAAAAAACTGTAATAGAATGTCAGCCAATAAATTTAGAGTAAAGCACAATTGGAAACAAGGAAAATTTCATCCATTCATATGAAGAGCAAGAAAAATGTCAACAGTACAAGTTGTGACGAGCAACTAGCAACTGCAATATACATGGAAATTCATTATTCGTGAGAAGCATAAACTTATTAGAATAGTAAAAAAATCCACACAAAACAAATGCAGAATTAACATTAACAGTACCATGGCTATGTAAAAATTGAGGAAAAGCTGTGTACCTCCTCATGATCATGACCAGTAGGCGGTAGCCCCAAGAGGATTCTCGCTTGCCGAGCAAAGCTAGCAAGGAGAGTCAAATTTGTTAGGGTAGTATCTCGATCCCTCAAATGTTCAGCACTTGTAAGATCCTTAATAATATTATTGAAAATTGCACTGTCTTCTACAACTCCAACAAAAAAAAGTTCCAAAAGAAGTTTGAGAGAGCTGCGCTTCTTCATGGCCTTCGAGTTCCTATCGGCCTCCAACTCATCCCCCGACTTTCCGGGAAAGAATGCTTTCAAGAGTCCTTGAATCAAGCATGGTGAGAAGTCTTTGTACCTTTTGTGAAGAAGCGAACAGATCTTTTTTTTTATCGGGGGAGGGGACAAGGAAACACATCAGAAATAGATAAGAGGCAGAACTTTCACCATTATTTTTGTCGTTCAGCATGTGAAAGATTGGTTATCAAACACTGCCAATAAACTAAAAAATCTATATTCTTAGCAGATAAATTTGGTCCTGTAAATCCTTTTTCTTTTTTTAGAGAAAACGAGCTTTTGTGGAGAATAAATGAATTAATTCAAAAGTGCATTACAAAACCAGCCCAATAAGCCAACCCGCCCAAACCCAAAAAGCAATACAAAAAAGGGGGTCCAGTCTAAAAGGACCAAACCAAGAGAGTAATTGCAAAAACATTTGGTCACTGTTGTCCAAAAGATTAATTTGGTTCTGTAAATCATTAATTGTATTGAGAAAGTCACTTTCACTAAGTGAATGAAAGAACAAGGAGAGGCCAGACACTGAACAAGGCACCAACCAATTAAATGAGACCTTAGATTGAATTTTAAATCAATTACATAGGTAAAAGGTAAAATACCAATGTAAAATGAAGAAAAATATTAACCAACTGGAGAAAGGGGCATTACAAAAAGATGATGTGATATTAGCAGAAAACTTTTGTCTAAGTTTCTATTGCCCCCACCCAACGAAAAACCACAAAATTGAGCTAGAAAACAAAAGAACTGAAAAGAGGTTACCTGAACAGCTGCTTGTATATCAGAAGCTCTAAGCCTGGCATCACAAATAGCAGCAACAGCCTCACTAACAAATTTACTCATATTTACATTTTGCAATTCATCCATCAGTCCTTCTCGTTGTTCTTCATTTATTTGCTTTAACTTTTTAATAATTGTTGTGTTGCGTCTAATACTAGAATCCAAAGTTCTAAAGAATCCAGAGTCTGCAGGCAAAAACAAAAGTTAACAAATTGAACATACATGGGATAAAATGGGTCAAATTTGTGTCAGATGAAATTGAACTTGCATATGTACTTGGTACTTTGGTGAAATTAAAATTTTAAAAAAAAAAAAAAAAAAAAAAAATCTATTCATTTATCTCAAACCATCATTAAGGAAAACACCAAGGAGAACACTCTAACCAAAGCTTCCAAAGTGTCGCCCTTAAAGAGAACACTCTAAATCATTCATACTAAAAAAGAAAGTAGAACCTTGAGGACATGCCCCCAAGAATTCCAACCAAGACAGAAATAAAAAGAGAAAATGGGTGCCCTTACCTTGAGTCTGCCATTATTCACCCATCAATCTTCCATCAAGGAAGATCGAAGTCTTAGCCACCCTTTATTAATTTCATCCACTTCTTTCTAAGTTTTTCCCACACAAAACCATCAATAAGGATAAGCCCAAAGTGATTGAGACTCGAAGCTGAGTGGTTTTATTGATGAAGCGTGTTCAGCATGCCTTTTAGTCATCAAGAAACTAGTAAAAACATATTAAGGGTTCCTTTTTTTTTATAACTTTTGTAGAGACGTGAATAAGTATGCAAGTAACGATTGGAAAATCTGATTTTCCATAAAAGCTTAACAATTAAATAGTTCATTTTCCTTCATTAACTACTTTCCTAGGCCCTAGCTAGAAGACAGGACAAAGTGAATGGGGCTTAAGACTGAGAATTTGGGACAGGACTCTGTGTTTGACTAGCAGGAGGCTAATATAGACCACTTGCTGTGGGGTGGCCAATTTGCTCATTCCTTATAGAGCAAATGTCTGCATTTGTTTGTTCGTGTTTGGCTCGAGAAGGGTGGCAGTGCTAGGATTGAGGACGTGCTCCTTAATCCCCCATTTTGAGACAAGTGGCAGGCAAGTTTCTTTTTTAAGCTGTGGAGAATCTAGCTCGAGAGAAACAGCAAAATTTTTAAGGAGGTAAAAAGATTGTGGGAGGAGGTTTCAAAGGTAGCTAGGTTTAATGCATCCTTGTGGCCAGACTTTTCGGCAATTATGCGCTTGGTTTAGTTTTCTTAGATTGGAGTCTATTTTTGTTGCAGTGGATTGTTTTATGCCTTCGTATTTTGTTTCATTTTTCTCAATGAAGGTTCAGTTTCCCACCCCAAAAAAAATATTTTTTATTAGCTAAACCCAAATCGTTTTATATGAGATTATGGTGGTCTTTCCCATCCAGAGAATACACCCATCCCCAATCTCAACAAGACTTCTCAGTGTCCTTAAGTGGGCTAACCAAGTGATCTCAAACACCTACTTCCACGTCTTTAAAAATAAATAAACAAATTTTAAAATATATTTATTAGACGTAAAACGTCCAAATCAAAATGTCTATCTATAAAGTGTATGACAACATTTGTTGCTTTTTCATCATCTAGGTTTAAACATTTCACTTGCCATGAAAAAGAAAATAGAATTACATCTAACTCAATAAATACTTAAAATCATCAAAATGCTAAAGACAATTCACTAACCAGGCCTCTCAGGATTCAAATTACTTTGACGAAGAGCCATTTTAGCCTCAAATGACTTTTTAATTTCTTCCTGACGGGCAACCATTTCCTACAACATGAGAGAAACAATCAGCAGCTCAAACTATACATCATGTAGGAGAACTAGAAACGTCTCATACTAGACTCACCAAGAAAAATGATAGCAAATATAATTAGATGTGTCGAGCAATATGTTGCAAATTATACATATCTAATGATTGCAAGGATGCAAGGATGCAAGGATGAAGTTACAAACCATAGATTATGCATATCTAATGATTTATGACCAAGGAGTTGTAAATGAATGGAGTAAATCAAAAGTTAAAACACTAAATGATACCATTTAGACTTGTATGTCAATCTCACCTCATCATCTCTCTTGGGTTGACTTTCAACCCCAGGGCCATCTTCATGATGGTCCATGTCCTGTGTAGTATGTACATGCAATAAGTTAAGAGATATAAAAATAACTACCACCTTTATGAGTTACTAAATACATAAAGCTTCCAAGTGCTCGTTTGTTACTGGAAAATACTAAAACATTGCCAATTGAAAGAAAGCAGTTATGATTGGAAGGTAAAATGGTGGACAGTAAATGTTAATAACACAACGATCATAATCCACCAACTTGGGTAGTTTTTTTTCCCTTCAACCCACCCATGCCCAACACCTCTATCCACTGAATTAAACTCAACAAACACTACACGAAATCTGACAATTACTTAAGGTCATAACTCTGAAAAAGCATTATACAATTTTCAATAGATCCTTTTTCAAAGGTTAACAAAACCTTGAAAGAGTGTCAAAAAAGATAGCCTTCAAAATTGTTATTTTCCAGAGGTTGCATGTCTTCAATAATTGTTATATATCGATAATTATTTAATGTTAAATTATCTTTTTTTTTTCAGGTTTTCATTATTTTTAAAGGCGTATTTATTTCCAAAGATTTTAAAGCCTTTATAGATAATTCTTTATCGACATTTTGTAAATCCTTCATTATTTGGAGAAAAATTGATAAATTCGTATACAGAGATATACACAGCCAAGAGAAATTCATCGCTGAAAAAAGTAGATAACAATGGTGACCGATTAAGAATGTTCTGCAACTTCTACAATGCACGCCCAAACGCTGGAGAATGATAACTAGACTAACGATTCGAAGCTAAAACCCTAATTCTGAGGAAATCCGAGCTGATGTAACTATATCGAACTCCTACAAGCTAAAGATTAAAAGAAAATTGGATAATACGGTAGGTTATCCAGGGAGATACTGAAAAATTCATGGCAGCAGTAACAAAATAGATATACAGATGATCAAAGCCTCAATCGGCAAACATATACAACAAATCAAAGTGCAGAGGGTACCACATAGCAGTTCAAAACGTCCCAGCAAGGTTTCTTTGCTTTCAGGTTGCTATTCGGCTATTGTTAGTAAAATCAAAAATCAAAAACTAAAACAACTCCTCCATTGTTTCATTAGACAAGTTTTAATTGTGTGTTATGAAGTGAGAAGAAAGGCATAGATGGAGTGGAGATCAGGAGAATACCAGTACAAGCAAGATAGTAGAAAATCAGTGCAAATTAAACCCGCTAGGAGGAGGAAGAAGGAGGCTACAGCGGCACGAAAGGAGAAAAGACGGCGGCGACACTGAGCCGCTGAAACGGAGAAGGAGACAGCGTGAAGAAGATGGACGAGTCCGTTAGAGGGAGATGAAGGTGAATAGCTCAACAGAATTCCACTTTTTCTTTCTTTCTTTTTTTTTTTTTTTTTTTTTTTTTTTTTNTTTTTTTTTTTTTTTTTTTTTTTTTTTTTTTTTTTTTTTTTTCCTTTTTTAAACCGGATTGGTTTTTTCCCCTTAAGACTCATGATATAATTATTAATTATGTTCAGTTTATTATTTATATCCTCTAATTATATAATCCATGAATTTTTATTTAAATTATATTTTCCTTCACTTCATCTTTATTCAATTATATTGTATCGAAGAAGGAGCCTCATTTATTTTCAATACGTTATATTATCCGTCAAATTACTTGCCAATAAAATAAATTTTATAAATTTCAAATATATATATATTAACGTAATAATTATAAAAATTACACTAATTTCTTTTTTTTCGAGTATCTTACCATTCAAGAGAGATTACTATTCACAATCTCTCTATTGTAAGACATAAGGGTTCTTAATAAAATACACTGGTTTCACTCAAGTGGCTTAAAAAATAATTAAATTGGATGACATTAATCCGATCCAAGCGCTTTCTTTATTCGTTTTCTTTATCAAATTAATAAAAATAAAGCGTTCATAACCACTGATCTTTATCAAATTAATAATAAAAAAAATCATTCATAACAACTTAATAGAATAGTTTTGTAGCTAAATCAGTAATATTGATCGGGAGTAACCCAATAGATGAAATCAAGAGTAACTCGATAGGTGAAAAGTTTGAAAAGGTGAATTGTGTGATGTTCATGTTGATCGAGCCCTTGTTGTTTATCCACAAGTTTAAAATCATACTAAATTATTCTTTACATCTTCGTTTCAGTGTCAAGATAATGATCTCGAACATTGCCAATTTCTATAGTGACTAGCGGTGTGTCCAAATGCCCGAAAAAGAACTTGTCATCGTATGGTTGACTGTCGATTATTAGTGAATCCTTACCGCACGGGTTGAACTAAAAACAAACCCACAAATGGCACTGCAAATTAAACCACATCTTCCGAACCAATTTCACCAATCTGACCGATTAACGGCCATGGCGGTTATCACAAGAAGTCTCCGATGAGAGAGGCCGCATTGCTGGTAGGTCTAATACTGTGCTGCATTTCGACGACCATCATCTCTGCCCATGAGCATGGCAACGACGCCTTTAACCTAAACAGTGTCCCGTCGCCGCCGGGGCAGTATCGTGAGTTTGAGATGGGAATGCCGCTTTATAGGATTAAAGATCACCCCAATGCCCTTATTCCGGCCACCATGGTCGGGCAGCTCTACACTCCTGTAGCTGCCCCGTCGCCGTCGCCGTCCCCATTTCCACAGCCATCGCCATTTGGATCGAGACCATTATTTTCTACCTAAATTTTATAATTTAAACGGTAAACCATACAAAATATTCTTAATTTTACTTTTTCTTTATGTTAAAAAGTTATTTAACATTTCATCGAGAAAGGAAAATAGTAACCCAGAGACGTTTAGACCACAATGCTAGAGAGACTTCCCTATGGAATAGTAGCACCTGACAAATTAGGGGGCACCAGAGGTATGGTGCTAGCTTTAAAGACTTGCCATGTTCTTGGAAAAGACGGTCTCGACAACCCTTCGAGCGATCGGGTGATAACACTCACGGGCTTCACAATATAATCTCTTTGCCAAAATCTTCTCTTCTTCCATCCCGGGGCCTTGTGTTAGAGCATTGTAGAGCGGGCGGAGGTACTTCATTCTCCCAACTTCCTTCAATGTTTTCTCAACCTCGATATAGCAATCTCGAAATTTCGACGAAATAGCAAGTTGAAGAAATGCAACTTTCACCTCATAATCCTTTGATTTCGAGAACCTATAGCGGGCGTCTAGCGCCTGGATCTAGCACATTCAAACAGAAGGAACAAATATATAACTTAATACGACGTCAAGTCTCAATCAAGCAACGCTACCGTTCACACAACGGTATCTTTGGTTTCCAGAAAACATGGATAATAAAGACTCAGGATCCTAACTAAGAGAGAAAACCCTGAAATAAGTAAATGCAAAGCTAAGCATCTTCAAACTTCTCCTTGATCACACACTATGAATTCCTGTTCAAATTATCCAGGCAAAATGGGCTTCCAGGGCAAGATTAACAATTGAAAGTCGACAAACGTAAGCATAGCTCGGTGATTAAGATATCTCGGTCACTTCTAAGTTTGCAATTTGACCAAAAACGGGCCCGAGGATATAGAAATAAGAATGTAATGATCAGAGAAATGTGTACCTGTGAGGCATCAACAGGTTTGGGCAGATTCTCCAAGTACAGCTCCCATTCCCGACCTCCCCAAGCAGCAGTTTCATCGTCCCTCGGCATTTTACCAAGCTTAAATTCATTGGCTAGCGATAGGATCTTCGTGTACAAATTAGAAACTGGTTCATAAGCATCTGGAGGGATACCAGTGCCTTCAGTCCACATTTCTAAATCTATCTCTTTCTCTATTCCAGGGATGTTTGCTTTCAAGAAATCAATAAACGTTTCTGTATCGATCGACTTAAATTTAAAGGTTTCGATATATTTCTTCAGAAACTCATCAAACTTGGGCCTTCCCACCTAAAAATTAAGAGGAATATTACAGCAAATACTCAAAGAAAAAGTTCGATACAGTTCGAAGAAACAATAGTTTAACATACCTGGCGTTCGATACGCCATACGAACTGAAAACCCTTCTCATACGGTACTTGAGAATACACATCGTCTGGATCTACACCTTCTTGGTTCGATTTTAGTTTCGTGAACTCCAGATTATCCTTAAATCTTTCAACATCCTCTTTCAAAGCATTCCAACCGATCCCTATATTAAGAGTAGCTGCATCCTCCCCTTGCACAACCTCAACAATTCTCCTTTCTGCATATCTTGTAAAACCCTGTGGCCACCCGTGCCCAAAGAAGAACAGTGTTACAAAAAGGAAAGAAAAATAAAAGCACTTGAACTACAAAACAGCCTCCTATTGTCAAAACAACACGATTGATTTCTAACCTCACGTGGAGAGTGTTGTAAATTATCATGAAGAATCGGTTCATGCATTTCGGATTCATATACACTTTTGGTACATTCCCTCTCCTATTTTTGCTTTATCTCCCATTATTGATACACGAATCATCTTGATTCATGTATATCACTAATATTGCTAGCCTATATAAAAGTTTGTCTACCGTGGAGTTATTGCCATTTTGTATTTGTCTAGAGGCAATTGGGAGATACTTTGTAGTGTGAGAGTGTGAGAGTTTGCATTTGTCTAGAGGCAATTGGGAGATACTTTGTAGTGTGAGAGTGTGAGAGATACACTTGTAAACACCTTGAATGATCGACTACAATAAGTGGATGCAAGGGAATTTCTTCTCACTGAACCACCTAAATCTTTATATCTCTTTGCTTAATTTTTGTTTGTGAGTGTGTGAGTACGATTGATCTTGCTTCACTCCTATTACAACAATAGGTATCAGAGCATTTTGGTGGTATCATTTTACAGTAAAGTGTATTGTTCATAACCATAAACAGCCAAAACTAGGATCTTCTAAACAAGAACTACCTGATGAACAAAATTAAGTACGGTAGTATCGAGGAAATTGCAATGAAAACACCAAACAGAAAAGAAAAAGAACGGTACCTCGTTCAACCAAAAGTGTTCGTTGTTTTTGTTAGTGATCAGGTTCCCAGTCCAGCTATGAGCAAGCTCATGAGCAACCACATGCACCCCCGTCGAATCCCCCTTGATCACCGTCGGTGTCAAGAACACCATTTTCGGATTTTCCATTCCACCGTAAGGAAAGCTCGGAGGTAACACCAGCAGGTCGAATCGCTCCCAATCATATGGTCCAAATAGCTTCTCGCCTTGCCTTATCATCTCCTCTGTTCCTGCAAATTCTCTCGCTGCAGCATCGAGCACCGAGGGCACCGATTCCGCATAAACCCTAGTCCTCGGCCCAACTTCCCTGAACGCGATCTCGCCCACGGCAAAAGCAAACAAGTACGGTGGAATCGGCTGCTCCATCACAAACTCTTCCACCACTCTCCCTTCACCAATCCACAACAAATCCACCCCTCCGGCCAACCTCGAACCCTCGCCGGCAACCGGCGGGCGGCGTTTCACACTCCGAGCGGCCATCACCGCCGACAGTTCCTGAGGAATATTCAGACGCGCGGAGTAACGCACACGCGCCGCCGGAGTGTCTTGGCAGGGAAAAATAGAACGAGCATGAATAGCCTGGCACTGTGTGTAAACAAACGGATGCGTCTTGTTAAAAGTCTGGGGAGGCGTCAGCCATTGCAGAGCCGATGATGAAGGAGAAGTAGTGTAAATCACGAGGAAAGAGGACTGGCCGGAGAGCGAAACGGATAGAAGAGAGCCTTTGATCGCGTCGGGAGGAGAAAGCGAGAAGGGAATCGGGGCATGGGATTCAGGGTGGAGAACAGAATGAATGGTAAGAGAACGAGTATCGAGGGAGAGAGGACCGGAGTGGGAATTGGAGAGAGAAACTAAGGCAACACCATGAATGGTGGTGGAAGGAAAATCGAAGTAGAGAGAGAGGGAAATGTGAGCGGTCAGAGGGTGGGAAGAATCAGTGAAAGAGTGTGGGTCAACAGGCGCCATTGACGAAGAAGAACAACAGAAATGGGATTATGAACTCAGAGAGTGGAGTTGCAGAGGCCTTTTATAGGGACGGACAAGGGCCACGTGGCGTCGATTCAACGAAGCCTATGAATACCTACACATTTTTTTATAAATAATAAATATTAAATTTAAAAAATGTTAAATTGTGAATATTTTTTTGGGCCAAATGAATGAATCTAACCTTTAAACTTCTAAAAAATACTATAAAATTTGTAAAGTGGTTCAAAATTATTTTAAAAATGTTTCAAAAATATTCTTTGAATTTTTTAAAATTTTTATTAATACTTTTATTTTTATTTTTTTTAATTTCAAAAACACATCCACACAGAAAAAAATTTAAAATTTATGAGTATTATTGAAAATTTTAAAATTTTTAAGCTATTTT